ATTTATTATATATTTTATTTCTATTAACAATAATATTCTTTCGAACGAGTGAATATAAATGTAATATATTCTATTGTACAGGTATCATGAGAGAGAATATTTTTATTTCTATTTTTTTTTTTTTATTTTTCTCATACACTCTGTATATTAAATACCTTAAAAAAAAAAAAAAAGAAGTATTTTACGTATAATATAAAAGATTTACCACCACAGGAAGAACTTAGACGATTTTACAAAGAGGATGATGATTGATATCGATAAAAATAAAAGATAGAAAAACAAACAAACAAACAAACAAATAAGAAAATACAGTAAGTAAGTAAAAAAGAATGATAGAAAGTTAAGAAAAGAAAAAGAAATTCTTTCAACCCTTTTCTTCCTTTATCGTAACGATCTCTTGAGAATCGAAGAAGTTATTGAAACGTTTCTTACAAACGTCTTTGAATATTCACAATTAAAACTAAATCGTAAAACAACTATGACAATAATTATTCTAACTATTGTATACTATATATATATATATCTATTAACAATAAGCTATTTGATCTGTCGATAATTGTAAAAAAAGAACTGTGGAAAGGGGTGGGGGGATAAGAGGTAAAAGAGAAGATTGGTGGGAGTTGTGAGAGGAAACTGGTGAGAGTGGGGGAAAGTATAGTATCATAAGGAATACGGGATAGAGTGAGATAGAGACAACGAAATTGTGTACGGAATAAAACAAGAGAGAGAGAGAGAGATGACATTGCTTGTTGTCTCTTTTTTCTCCACCCCCGTGGGGTGGCCCATGCTCCAACTCAGAAAAACGTTTCTATAAGGGCTCTGTGTAGCAACGGTGGTGGCGGCGGCACAGACATTAGTCGAGTCAAAAAGAAATATCCCTCCGGGAAATGCGGCATAATAACAGCTTAAACGCATCGCGCATTCTTTTTCTTTCTACCTTTTCTTTTTTTTCTCTTTTTATTTTTTTTTCTATTTTTTTATTTTTCCGTTTGTGTTTCATCCTCTTCATCTTCTTCATCTTCTTTTTCTTATTATTGTTATTATATTTTTCTTTCTTTCTATTCTTTTTTTTTTGCTTTTGGTTTTATCTTCTATTCCTACTTTTGTTTTTTCCAAGTTTGTTTGTTTCTTTCTTTCTTTCTTTCTTTGTACATTAATCTTTTAACCATTTTATTTCCATTTTCGAAGAACATTTGTAAAATAACATTTTTTGTAATATTGTTATTTGTTGTTGTTGTTGTTTTAGTTATTTGTTTAATCGTCCCACATTGTAATACGTTCTTACGATGTTAAATATTATTTTCATGCATTTAGAATCTTCTAAGTTTTCACTAGATTATTTTATTTATTTATTTATTTAAAAAGTATCCCTCGAATCATGTTACACAATGATTATACATACATATATATGTATATATAAAATACGGTACTTACGTATTAACGCTGCCGCAGCAAAATTCCGCTAATGCGCCAATTTACACCTTAAAATTGTTGCGACAAATCATAGAATAAAAAACTTTATTTAAAATCAAAACAGTCATAACAGTTTCTATTTTCTTTCACCTGATGTTATCGCCATAACCCTGACGCAACCCTGACAAAACCCTGACAGTTACTGTGTACAAACAACAAGGTTGTTGTGTGCGAACAACAAGATTGCTCTTTATTGGCGCATTAGCGGAATTGTTGCTGCGATGGCGTTAATAAGTAAGTACCTAAAATACATATACATATTTGTTATATAATAAATAATTATAATATTAATTATAATATTATTAAGTATAATTATAAATTCAAAAGAAAAAAAAGAGAAAATTACTAAATTCCTTACTCTCTTTCAAGATATTATTTTTTATATCTTATTTTATATTTAAAATTGTCTAATAACACAACTTGTTTTTTTAACTACAACCTTAAAATATTTTCTATAAACAAAAATTATTTATTTTTCAAATTGCATAAGAACTTTTGACCAAACCTGTAGATAGACAAATACATATATCTATGTATATATATATATATGTTTATCGTCGAAAGGTCGGGCCAAACTCGTGTAATATTAAATGGCGTTCACGGTTCGCCAGTCAAATTGAATTCCAAGGTATTGGCAAATTCTCAATAAGTATCGACAATGAACTTTCTACGCTAGTTTCTCTCTCTCTCTCTCTCTCTCTCTCTCTCTCTTTTCTATTATATCTTATATATCGTTCGTCTTTCCTTCTGCCTGAGAAAACTTTTTACGAAGAAATCGTTCACACATGTACGGACTTTGAAATCCAAAATGGCTTCGGTAGTATCACCACGTCAGCAGGACGTTGAAAAGCACCAGTGTGTATACCACTACCATTATAGAACCATCACCATAGAACCCATAGAAGAAGAAAATTTGAGAAAGGATGAAATGAAACATTTTGTTAAATTCAAAACAAAATAAGTTATTACAAAATATTCTTTATTTTAATAACTTATATTTAAAAACGAATCACCAGCCTTATAAGTGTGATAGAATAAATTAAGAGAGGTGGGGTAAAGTTTTGGAAAGGGGTGAATAGTTGGGTGAATGGGCACATTGTTCGCAGGATACTGGGTTTGCTGAGGTTAAGAACAATTGGTAGGTGGAGTTAAAATTCCCATAAGGACGAAGAATAAGAAGAAGAAGAAGAAGAAGAAGAAGAAGGAGGAGGATGGAATAAGAGGAATAAGAGGAGGAGAAAGAGGAGGTAGATAGGTAGGTAAAGGTAGAGTGGATGAACAAGGAGGAACCCAATAGGAGGAGGGTAATAAGAAGGTGGGTAGATGGTGGTGTAATGAAGAGCGACAGTGACGCTCCCGGCCATTGCTAATTTGCCACTAAGTGCCCGGCTTTGTTTCCGTACGTTGATCCCATCCTTTGCAATATCCTGGATTCTCGAGACGATGTAAGTGTAGTACTGTACACCATTACGTTTAAGAGATAAAGCCAAATAACCTGCGGTATCATACTACTAACTATTTCTAATATATATATATATATATATATATATAGATTAAATATATTAGTTATACATAATATCTAATAGTGGTGTATAAAAATATATATTATTATATAAATATTATATCTTAATATATATAAATTACGTGTCACGTTGTTTGTCCGCAATGGACTCCTAAACTACTGAACTGATTTTAATAAAGAGTCATGATTATCTCTGTTATATATACAATATAATATAATAATAATAATTTATTATAGTTAATTAGTTTTATTATAATAATTAATTAGATTTCTTATAGTTAGAAATTGTTAGATATCTTATTCCTATTTATTTTTATATTTATTCTTATTTTTCATGTTTTGTTTCATTTAACTTTGTATATGATCGAACTCTCGCAGAATACTCGTCATATTATTACATTTCGTAATAACATCATCTCGTTTTATCGTTTCAATTAAATTTTGTAAATTAGAATCATTTGATTTAGATACTTTTAACCAAAATTGATATAAAATAATATAACATATGGATATGTGTATGTATGTATATAATTAAATTTATGTAATTTGAAAAAAACAAATTGTGATATCAAATCTTTCTGTGTTTTATTTTATTTATGAGGTTAAAGATTAATATTATTGATAATAATTTTTTATCTTTTTATTACATAAACATATATATATGTATTTATATATAGACGTAAGTTGAATAAATCAAACAGAAATTCATAAATAATCTTATTATTTATGAATCTACGTATACAATTTAATCTTCGTGAATATTTGGATTTGTTAGATTTTCTTGTTTTTTTTTTTCTATTTACTTTTGATTTTCTTTTATTTCATGTTATATTTTTAACGCGACAGATTTAAAAGGTAAAAAGAAAATAAAAGAAATAAAAAAAAAAATAAAAAATAGGGATTCCGTTAATATGTATTTTTAATAACTTGGTATATAGAATCCTCTAGCGAAATATTTTTCGAAAGCTATGTGAACGGAAGCAACAGGTATCGTATTTCTATCGATAAACGAGTTTCTCCATTACGATTTACGAGTTTTTACTAAACGAAAAAAAAAAAAAAAAGAAAAACACAAATAAAAGAAGAGAAAAAAAAATAAAGAAGAAAAATAATATCAAACCATAAAGCTAATAAATCATTTGATTTATTTCTTACAAATTGTCAGTGTTTTCACGTTATTCCATTTTTCTCAATACTTAATTTTGTTAGATATTTTCAAGTAAATTTCGTCATATATTTTTTAAACATTATCATATTGAATATTGATGTATATATATAACAGATAAAAATAACTTTTACTATTATCAAATCATGTGCAAATGATCTTTGCACTGTGTTAGATAGAAACACACACCATGACAAGCAGATTATTACACTATTATCTTTGTTATCAAATTTGATAAGATACTTTTTTTCTTTTTTGCAGTTCAATTTTTATTATTCAACTGATTATAAGCAGAAAGATAAGTAAAAAAATTCGTTAAAACAAAATACTTAATTCTCATTTTATTTTTTAATCCAAATAAATGAACCAATTTGTAATATAATTTATCTTTTTATAATATAACATTATTTAATTTTATACAAATTTATAAAAACGTCACGTGATATTTGGCACAATACTTTGTTGAATTAACACGAAAAAAAAAAATAAATAAATAAGAATGTTCTTCAAATTCTAATAACTTCAACATTAAAAAGTATAATGTAAATATAACGATAGCAAAAAAAAGTAACCAAAGATAATAATAATAATAATATTATAATAATATTTGAATAAAAAAGATTAGTATAAATGATTTAATCGATTAATAAAGACACACATGTCTATAATAAAAAAAAAATAAAAAAATAAATAATTAAAATAGAATAATCGAAAAAGATTGTAACGTTTCATAACAATAGTTGATTCGCAATTCTACATAGCAAAGATTACGTAAGTAACATAACCCGATGTACATATATATATATACATGTATATATTAACGATAGTAAGAGAGTAGAAACGTCAGTCAATTATTAACTCTCAACGGTGAAACATCATCCCTGATCTTAAGATTAAATATTTGATTTTTGTTTTTCAACAAATTCAACGATGGAGGATTGGGCTATGATCATAGCATTCGTGATAGTGTTATTAAGCATTTATTATTACATAACGAAAGATTTGAATTATTTCGAGAAATTAAATTTACCATATGTCAAACCATGGCCAATATTAGGCAACATGGGTCCAACTATTTTCCGTCAAAAAACAATGGTCGATTTGATCGTCGATACATACAACAAATATCCTGAAGCCAAATACATTGGTTTTTACGATTTGGGTACACCTGTATTTATGATACGTGATCCGGAATTAATAAAACAAATTGCTGTTAAAAGTTTTGACAATTTTCCTGATCATCGTGGTTTCGTTGACGAAGTACAAGATCCATTGTTCGGAAAGAATTTATTTTCATTGCGTGGTGACAGATGGAAAGAGGCTAGAACCATACTGACGCCGGCATTTACATTGAGCAAATTAAAAAGTATGTTTAAACTTATGAGCGATTGTGGTGCCGATTTTACAGAATATTTGGCTAAAATGCCTAAGGAAAAGAGAACGATTGAAATGAAGGACGTTTTAACGAGATATACGAACGACGTATTAGCGACATGTGCATTTGGCATTAGTATTAATTCCATGAAAGATCGTGACAATGATTTTTACGTACTCGGTAGAGTAGCAACTAACTTCGATGGTATCAAATCATTGAAATTTTTCTTATTGAGAAGTTTTCCAAGGATAACGAGTTTGTTCAATCTTAAATTGATACCCGAGTACATAGCCAAATTTTTCGAAAAGGTTGTCAAAGATGTGATCGATACTAGAGACAAACATAACATCGTTAGAAACGATATGATACAATTGATGATGGAAGCTAGAAATAAAAAAGCTGAAATGGGACAAGAATTACCATTGATAGAGATAGTTGCACAAGCATTTATTTTCTTCTTTGGTGGTTTCGATACGGTATCAACGGGAATGTGTTTCACGTGTCACGAAATTGGCGTCAATCCTGACATACAAAAAAGATTGCAAAAGGAAATAGACGATGTTATTGAAAAAACTAATGGAAATCCAACATATGATTCTATTAATAACATGCAATACTTGGATGCAGTGATAAACGAATCACTCAGAAGATATCCAATTGCCATTTTTCTTGACAGAGTATCAATCGATGATTACGAATTACCACCTTCATTACCAGACGGTAAACCCATTTTAATAAAAAAAGGTTCTAACATGTGGTTCCCGGTTGCTGCATTCCACTACGATGAGAAATATTTTGACAATCCATACAAATTCGATCCAGAAAGATTTATCGAACGTACCAAAGAGATTAATAATTCTGGTGTTTATTTGCCATTCGGATTGGGACCAAGAATGTGCATTGGCAATAGATTCGCTTTGTTAGAGATGAAAGTTTTATTGTTTCATCTATTGGCTAGATGTAATTTAAAACCTAATTCGAAAACATTAATACCAATGCGATTATCCAAAAGAACGATTAACTTAAACGCTGAAACTGGTTTTTGGATGGATTTGGAAGAAAGAAATGATAAACATCCTGCATTGAAAAATTATCAACCATATAGTACTAATACCGTTAATGATAATAATTCAAATGACAATTGTAAAATTAATTCAACTGCTAATGGTGTTAGTAATGGTTCTTGTACGATTAAAGCTTAAACATGTATTTCTTTTTTTTTTTTTATGAAAAATAATTAATAACGATATTACTATTCATCTTTTGTTATATATATGTATATATATACGTTTGAAATATTAGATAAATTGAATCTCAATTACGTGTATCATTGATTAGAATTACAGATAAATATATTATTAATGTAAATAATATTCTAATCATATTGATAATCGTGTTGATTTTTTATTATTATTATTATTATTTTTTTAATAATAACATAAACAAACTTTAATAAATTTAATTAACGAAATGAAAATAATATTATCGTTATTATTATTATTATTATTATTATTATTTAAAACCATTCATTCAATTAAATTCTTTAAATTAATTAGATTATTATCGTACGTAATGAATAAATGATTAATTTGATGAAATAAAAACAAACACACACACACACACACACACACACGTATAACGATGGAAAAATTTTCTTTTTCATCAAAACACTCACTCGTATTATTGTTATCTAAAGTCTGATAAGATTCAACAGAAAAAGTATATTTTAAATTTTACAAAAGAAAGCAAATAACTGATAATAAATATTTTTTGTTACTAATTAAATATAAAAAAAAAATATTATAAAGCGTCAAAATATGTATAATGATAAAAGAAATAAATATAAAAAAAAAAAAAAGAAAGAAAGAAAAGAAGAAGAAGAAGAAGAATAGCAGAGATTTATTTTATGCAACGCAATACAATTTAATATAATTAAAAAATTAATATAAAATAATACTAAAATAATAATATAAAATTTAAAAAAAGAAAGAAAAAATATAAAATATATATATATATATATAGAAACGTTTTATATTAACTTTGGATATTTGGAATCTAAAAATATACGATCACGTCAGTAGCATGATAGTCATAGACTGATATACTTAGCAGAGTACGCAAAAGGAACGTCAGTTGGTTATAATCTCTCGGCAGTGAAACTTGTTTGGTTCTATCTCTATCTCTCTCTCACTCACTAACTCACTAACTCACTCACTCACTCACTCACTCACTCTGTATCTCTCTCTTTGTCTCGTTATTTCTCTAGCACGCATATAGTCGTGCGCGTGTGCACACAACACACACACACAACACACACGTACACAACTAATACACCTACGCACGTACGTGTTATAATATTACATCGGTATATCCTCTATCTCTGTTTAGCCTTTGACTAGTGAAATGGAGTGGTCGTGGGCATGGATAATATCCTTTGTAATAGTAATAATAAGCATATATCTATACACGTATAATGATTATAATTATTTCAAAAAATTAGGTATACCGTATATAAAATCATGGCCAATATTGGGCAGTTTGGCACCAGTATTTTTAATATTAAAACCAATGGCCGAATTACTCGTCAATATGTACAATCAATATCCTGATGCAAAATACATTGGTATTTTCGAAAGTAGTAATCCAGTTCTGTTAATACGTGATCCGGAATTAATAAAAACAATTGCTGTTAAAAGTTTTGACAATTTTCCGGAACATCGATCGTTCGTAGACGAAGTACAGGATCCATTATTCGGAAGAAATTTATTTTCATTACGTGGTGACCGTTGGAAGGAAGCGAGAATGATGTTGAGCCCGACATTTACATTGAGCAAATTAAAAGGCATGTTTAAACTTATGAACGAGTGTGGTGCCGATTTTACCGATTATTTATACAAAATGCCGGAAAATAAGAAAATGATAGAATTGAAAGATGTATTTACGAGATATACAAACGACGTAATAGCAACTTGTGCATTTGGCATATCCATAAATTCAATGAAACATCCGGAAAATGAATTTTATTTAATTGGAAGAGAAGCTACTCATTTTGGTCCACTTAGAACAATAGAATTCATGTTTGCACGTGCTTTTCCATTGTTATCACGTTTATTAAATATCAAATTTGTATCGGATAAGGTTGCTAATTATTTCGAAAATATCGTCAAAGACGTTATCGATACTAGAGATCGAAATAATATCGTTAGATCGGATATGATACAATTGATGATCGAAGCTAGAGATAAGAGGGCAGAGATGGGACAAGAATTACCATTAATTGATATAGTAGCACAGGCATTTGGTTTTTTCTTTGGTGGTTTTGATTCAGTAAGTTCGGCTATGTGTTTCACTTGTCACGAAATTTGCATCAATTCTGATATACAAAAGAAATTGCAAAAGGATATTGATGAGATCATTGAAAAAACTCATGGAAATCCTACATACGATGATATTAACAACATGCATTATCTCGGTGCTGTGATAAATGAATCACTCAGAAGATATCCAATTGCTCTGATGCATGACAGATTATGCATTCAAGATTACGAATTACCACCAACATTACCAAATTGTAAACCATTAATCGTAAAGAAAGGCATGAACGTAATGTTTCCAGTATATGCGATTCATCACGATCCCAAATACTTCGAAGACCCATACAAATTTAATCCCGAAAGATTTATGGAAAATGGCAAAGATATCGCTAATTCTGGAACTTATTTTCCATTTGGAATTGGACCTAGAATGTGCATTGCCAATAGATTCGCCATAATGGAAATCAAAGTATTGATCTTTCATTTATTAGCAAGATGTAATCTGAAACCTTGTTCGAAAACTGTTCATCCGATACAACTTACTAAATCAGGATTAAACATGAACTCGGCAAATGGTTTTTGGGTTTATTTAGAGGAAAGAAAGGATATTCATCCAGCGGTTAAAAATCTTTTACCAAATAGCAACATCGATAATAATAATTATAATAATTCTAATGCCACAATTAAAGCATCCACTAATGGCATTGCCGTTAAATGATTCTACATGATCAAAGCTTCAAATTATAAATATATATTTAATAATTGTTTATGTATTTTACCTTATATATATATATGCAGGGAATGAAATGTTATATATGTATAGATTTTCAATTACCCATTTAACCATCAAATATTACACTATAAAGCTTAATCGTGTATCGAATTACACGCAACTATGAGTAGATACTACTGTAAACGAATTTTATACCATCATTTTAGAAAATATAAGACAAGTGTAATCTTGATTACATTTTCTACAAATATATATATATTATATAGAATATAATATAAAATATGTATTATTATAAATATTGATTTATTTTTAAGTAAAAAACAAAACAAAAAAAAAACAGAAACTAAAGGTAATTAAATATTTTAATCTAACACACTAATCTAATTTTTATTACTAATAAAATACCTACAACAGATAATTAAGACATTATGATAAAATGTAAATATTATCTGTTGTAATAAAGTTTCCTTTTTCTTTCATTCGAGCTGATGACGTCATGAAGATAAAATTATCATGCGAGTTAAACTGAAATAGCGGTTGATGAAAGTAAACATCAGTTCGTTTTAACTTCTCGTCGAAGTAACATCTCTACGCACACATCTCCTGTTGAGATATTGAATAAATTATTTTAATATTCAAGATGGATACGTGGACTATAATTTTGACCTTGGTGATAGTGATACTTAGCATATATTATTACGTGAAATATATTTATAATTATTTCGAGAGAATCAATTTACCATATTTAAAACCATTGCCATTTTTGGGTAATATAGGACCAGCCATATTACGACAAAAAACATTAGCCGAAATAGCTATCGATGCTTATAATGTAAAACCTAAGGAAGCAAAATACATTGGTTTTTTTGATATGAGGAAACCAGTGATAATGATACGTGATCCGGAATTGATAAAAACCGTCACCGTGAAAAGTTTCGATCATTTTTCAAATCATTTTGGTTTTGCCAATGAAGGATTAGATATTTTATTTACAAAAAATTTATTTTCATTGAGAGATGACAAATGGAAGGAAACTAGAACGATGTTAAGTCCAACATTTACATTGAGCAAATTAAAGGGTATGTTTAAATTGATGAACGAGTGTGCCATTGATTTTACCGATTATTTATCCAAAATGCCAACGAGTAAAAAAACATTAGAAATGAAGGATGTATTTACGAGATATACAAATGACGTAATAGCAACATGTGCTTTTGGAATAAGTATTAATTCGATGAAAGATCCTAACAATGATTTTTACATTAATGGTAGAAAAGCAACGAATTTCGATGGTTTTAAATCAATCGT